TTGCAGGGGGTTGGGGTGTCAGGGTGGGTTTGCTGCAGGGCTGGGGTGTCAGGGTGGGTTTGATGTGGGGCTGGGGTGTCGGAGTGGGTTTGCAGTGGGGCTGGGGTGTCAGGGTGGGTTCGCAGTGGGGCTGGGGTGTCAGGGCAGGTTTGCTGCAGGGCTGGCAGCAGAGCCAGGCTCCCTCTGCTCACCTGGCACTTGCCTGGCCCATGGTCTGTGAAATGGGCACCTCTGCACCCTGCAGCATGTGCTGGGCGGGCAGAGCCCCTGGGCACTCGGCCACTACGGCTGAGGTGTCCGTGGAGCTGCTGCGGGGACCGGGGTCCCCGGGCAGGGCCAGCACTGCTCGGGCACGGGGATCTTCCCCCAGCCTGCAGCAGCAGGTGGGAGGGGGACACAGGGGAGGCCTTGCCCTGTGCCCCCCTTGCCTCCCCCAGGTCAGCCCTACACCTTGTTGGCAATATTGCTGTGCTGGCGAGGACACTACTGTACAGTTCAGGCACTGCAGGTTTCTAATCTGCTTATTTATAATTCAAAAGCTTGCCCATATATTAATGAACCCTTAATGAGCTGTTGAAAATGCCTGAATTACAGTCAGATTATTAAACTCCAACAGCCCCTGTAATCATACCATTTGAGTGGGCTTTAGGTACTTTTCATATCTGCAGCTTTGTGTTGTGAAGGAGATGGGTTTATTCGAAGAAAGCTTTGTAATAATTTTGACCTGCAATTTATTTATTGGCCTCTGAATGCAGTAGTCTATGCAGATGCTCTCGTCTATTATGTGTGGGGGCAGGTGCACAGCATGTTGAAAGACAGCTAATTATGATTTGCTGAAAGATATGCTAAAACTGTGGTCTTAGAACAAAGCCAAGTTCATTGTTAAACAATGTTTTAGTGTCTGTTTATGTGGTTTGTCTAAATCACAGAGATACTGAAATGCACAGTGCAGTTATAAGCAGATCCCAAGCAGGAGCACACTTGCATTTTCTTAACCCCTGAGGTGCTGGTGTCCCCAGGCTGCTGGGTTGGGGTCCTGCACAGCCCCAGGTGCCCACCAGTGAGTGGTGGTGAGGGGTGGGCACAGCAGCTCCGACCCCTTGCGGGGTGCTGAGTGAGGGGCCCGTGCTGGCTGTTGTGGTGGCCGTGGCGGTGGCCATGGTGGTGGCCATGGTGGTGTTCCTGGCAGTGGCCATGGTGGTGTTCATGGCGCTGGCCATGGCGGTGGCAGTGCTGGTGGCTGTGGTGGTGCTTGTTGTTGGGTTCATGGCGCTGGCCATGGCTGTGGCAGTGCTGGTGGCAGTGCTGGTGGCTGTGGTGGTGCTTGTTGTGGTGTTCATGGCGCTGGCCATGGCTGTGGCAGTGCTGGTGGCAGTGCTGGTGGCTGTGGTGGTGTTTGTGATGGTGCTTGTTGTGGTGTTCATGGCGCTGGCCGTGGCCGTGGCAGTGGTGGTGGCAGTGCTGGTGGCAGTGCTGGTGGCTGTGGTGGTGGCTGTGGTGGTGTTTGTGATGGTGCTTGTTGTGGTGTTCATGGCGCTGGCCGTGGCCGTGGCAGTGGTGGTGGCTGTGCTGGTGGCTGTGGTGGTGTTTGTGGTGGTGTTTGTGGTGGTGTTCATGGTGCTGGCCGTGGCCGTGGCAGTGCTGGTGGCAGTGCTGGTGGCTGTGGTGGTGTTTGTGGTGGTGTTTGTGGTGGTGTTTGTGGTGGTGTTCATGGTGCTGGCCGTGGTGGTGGCCGTGGGGCGGGCCCTGCCTCGAGGCCTGTCCCCTGCAGCGCCGCTGGCGCCGGTGGCTCTGCTGGGAGTGATGTATTGTTGTGTTCTTTCCCGTCCCTGCTGCACCTTAATTCCTCGATGCATTGAAAGGTCAGTGAGCTAAACAGTAATAAACTCACAGGGTGATAGAGTGAGGGATAAAAGAGGGAAACAATGGCCACCGAGTGTGAGCTTATATGTCAAAAAATACATATATTACCAGTGTATTCAAATCAAGAGTAATTTATAAAGGCAGGTGCTGGTAGGAGCAGCTTTATTGCCGGCCTATAGCAGAATGCTCCTCCGTGCTGAGGGGCCTGTGAGATGCTCTGGCTCCTTCCCAGACAACGTGGGGAGTGTTCAACCTGCAGCCAAGGGGCTGCTGCTGACGAGCCACGTGTCTCACCGGTGACAGAGTTCATCAGTTTTGCAGGCCCCTGCCCCCAGGGACGCCAGACACTATTAGTTGTGCTGATCTGCTTCATATAGTTCATAAGGAAAGCTCGGAATTAACACACAGCTTAATTCTTGTTAGAATTAGTTAATCAGCTCGTGGCTTTGCCATTCCGATGAATGATGCGTCTCACGCAGGGCCAGGATAAATGTTGTGTCCCCACACAGGCGCTGTCATCCCTTGCCTGTGGGTGTCCGGGGCTCCCGCGCTCCGGGTGGAGCTCTGGACGTGGGGGCAGTGTGTGGATGAAGATGAGGGCGGTGTGCCACCCCGGTGCCACCAGCCCCCGAGACACGCGGGTTGCGTGCGGAACACCTGAGCGGCTCCATCGCTGTCCTCATGGAGCTCCCTCCCGTTGTGGCTCCGGCTCCTGGCCGGCTCCTGCGGCCCCAGTGCAGCCCCAGCTCCTGCTGCTCCGCCCTGGGGGCTGCTCACTCACCGAGTCAGCGTGCAGACAAGGGCTGGGGCTCCTGAGTGTCTATCTGAGTCTGGGTGGATCATCTCGCTTTGGAGAAGCCCTCTCTCTTTGGCCTGATGATGAAAGTACATGATGCAGAAATCACTGGAATTGTACCAAATTATGTTGCTGCAGGCTTTGGCTAGGCATCTGCACTTGGGAGCAGAGTGGGACTGTGATGGGATAGTGGGAGGGAGATGAGTTCCATGGTGAAAGCAGAAATGCAGCTGAGGAATAACAGCTGGAACAGAGCACAGTAAACATGGACTGAGAAAGGGTCCAGAAGCTAAAAGGAAAAACAACAGTACAAATCAGCTTGAGTGGACTAAAACCAGGATGTTATTGAACATGCTGACAGCAGAGCAGAGGAGGAGAGTGACAAACAGGGGAACAACTCCCCAAGGAAATCACCCCTGTGCTATGGCACTGCGGGCCAGGAGCTGTGCTGAGGCAGTGGGGCCTGGCAGCCGAGGGAATGAGGGATGGGTGCAGCGCTGCCTGGGCCAGGCACCACCACTCCTGCTGCTGTGGGGACTCCCAGGTGTGGCATCACCTTCCCTGGCTGCAGCATGGGTGGCCTGAGCTGTGCCAAGGCTGTGCTCAACATGTGTGTGCCACCTCAGGGACACACCGGGACAATGTGTGGTATCATCAGCTTGTGCCTGTGGACCTCTGAACAGGCAACAGAAATAATTTAAAGAGATGATGAGACATTTTTATTATTACCATGAAATTATATGGAATTATAGTTTTAAATGAAGGTGACAGGTTTAAAATGTGTATTTTAGAGCAAGATTAATGCCTTGTGCTTTCTTGAGTTGGAAAGTTGGTCAGTGAGGGGGTCATGTCCCACTGCGTGTCCTCTTTGACAGTCAGTGTGGAATCTGTGTTGTCCCCCGACTGCACAAGCACATTGCTGGTGCCCAGATCCATGCCTGGCAGTATTGTGTTGCTGGCACATCTGGCACAGCCTACTGAGGTACTGTTCCTGCTGTGCATGGGAGCAGAAAGGTCCTGTGGCACTGCCATCCCCCCGTGGCACTGCCAGACTGTGTCTTATGGGGCTGGATACTGCGCTGGGGCAGGGCTGGGGCAGGACTGGGGCAGGGCTGTGCCCGTGGCCCCTGGGCAGGCTGGGCTGGGGCAGAGCTGTGCCCGTGGCCCCTGGGCAGGTGGTATCACAGAGGGCTCATGGCAGGCGGGCAGTGAGTGGGCAGTGAGCGGGCAGCGGCTGGGCAGATGCAGAAGTACTGACTGTGTTTTCTCTTGTTCTCTCTTTTCTGTCCAAGGTTTGAGCATCCGAGGAGCCCAGGAGGAAGACCCTCCCGATCCTCAGCTAATGAGACTAGACAATATGCTTCTGGCAGAAGGAGTCTCAGGTCCGGAGAAAGGTGGGGGATCGGCGGCAGCAGCTGCAGCCGCAGCAGCCTCTGGAGGGTCTTCAGATAACTCTATTGAACACTCAGATTACAGAGCCAAATTGACCCAGATCAGACAAATCTATCACACAGAGCTGGAGAAATATGAACAGGTCAGACATCAGCCTCTCACTTGTTCGTGTACCTGACACTGCTCTCCTCTGCTTGCCAGTGCCCACCACTGCCCACTCTGGACCACAACCCTTCCTCCCCTTCCCCACGCCTCAGCCGATAGAGAGCCATGGTGGGAGTCTGTCGGGCTCCAAGGAGCTGCTGGCTGGAGCCAGGATGCATGTCTTGCATGCCTGAGTGTTTTCTGTTGTCTGTAACTGCACAAGAACAGCACCCAAGCCCGTGTTTCTCCCCTTTGCCCAGCCCATTGAAGGCAGAGATGAGATGTCTGTCGCTCAGACCTGATGAGGTCTCACACCGCTGGGTCTGGCAAGCTGGGGAGCACAGGCAGACAAGGGCTGCCTTTGCCATCTCAGCCCACAGGCTCCTGGAGCAGGTGGCAGGAGACTGGCACCAGACTTGGCCACGGCAGGTCAGCTGGAGCAGCTTGGAAGAGAGTGGGCAGTGAGGCGTCAGCAGAGCACCTGGCCTAGGCCTGGGCACAGGAACTAGGGAATCCTGGTTCAGGCAGATGCCAGCACAGTGTCTTTGTTTGGAGTGAAGGGCATGCTGCAGAGACCTGTAGGTTTGTGTTCACCACTGGGACCTGGTGACCCAGCACACTGGCCATGCTGGTGGCACTGAGAACGTTTGCCACATGCTGCCAAGTGCCAGCAGCACCACGCGTGCCGGTGGCACTGCCTTGCCTGCGCTGTCTCTTTCACTGCGTTGTTGAAGTGGAGAGCAACTAACTGAGCAAACACCTGTCAGGGTCTGTGGAAATCTGCTGCTCTGCCCTGACCCCTCAGGGCCCCAGCGGTCCTGGCTGGAGCCCCGGGCCCTGCTCACCCCACAGGGGCAGCACGGGGTGGGGTGGGGTGGGGTGGCACTAACGTGCCTCGGACAGGCACAGCACACGGCTGCAGGCAGATCGGGCCAGTCGCTTCCTGGCAAACATCCTTGGACTCTAATAAGCTTAATGACGTGGGGGAAGCAGGGGCATTTTTTGCTCTGTAGCTCCATTTACAAAGGTTTCAGCTGAAATGTCACAGCCATTCGTTCACACCACAGGAAATTTTGGAGGATGCTCAAATGCTGCTGGAGCAGGAGAGAGAGGTAGAGCTGAGGATAAGACATGCATGCTTCCCCACGGATCCTGACACCCAGCCACGTCTGCTCAACAGACATATGATGATTTCCCCAGCCTGGCAGCAAACTGTCTCCTGCTGGTTTGTCTCACTGCAGTGCCCGAGAGGCAGCCAGGGCTTGGCATCTCAGCCCCTGGCACCGCAGGTTCTGGGAGGCAGGAGCCTCCTGCAGCAGGGAGCCTGTGCCGGGCACCTGCCCGCACCACAGAGCCGCTCCTGCCATCCTGCCTGGCACGGGCACTCCCGCCGTCCCACGGCAGCAGGAGCCAGAGCGCCTTCCTGGAGATGCTTTCCAGGCAGAGTTTGATCCTGATATTTGTTGCCAGTCAGAGGAATGCACTCAGGAAAGAAAAAAAAAGGGAAAGAGAAATGGAAAGTGTGTCACGCCATCACCCAGCGCTCCCTCGCCGGGCGCCGGGAGAAATGGCCACGCGCAGGCAGCGCCTTCCATAATTTACAGCTCCTATAACAGAGATGACATATTGAAAGCTATCTGCTGTAATTACACTGAAATACATTTTTTGCTGTAGGCAAAAGTACTGTAAGGGTCCCAGGCCTCCTGGAGCAGCTGGGAACCCACTTCCCAAGTTCACAGATGTCTCCTGAATTCACCTCGAATTGGTGGCAGCTCAGAAGCCACCACCAGCCTCACCGAGCACTGGCTGTCACCCTGCCCCTCAACGTTGTTTTGGGCCATTTCCTCTCTTTTTCCTGTGCACTTGTGATGAAGCACAGAGGCAGCAGGAGCATCCCTGCTCCTACAAGGTTTCTGAGCAGGTTAACAAGGCCATCACTTATAACCTGACATTATTAATAATGTCTTGGGCACCAAGCAGAGGCCTGAAAAATAGTCCTGGAAAAGGGATCAAGTAGCTTGGATGCTATAAATAAACAAGAGAAACAAGACAAAGCATCAGAGTCTTCTGAGCTTCCTCCCACTGTGCTGTGTGAGGCAGCTCTGCAGCGGGGAGGTGCTGGTGGAGATGAATTAAACCCAGGCTCTCCAAGCAGTTGTAGCCAAACCAAGTCTTATCAGGCAAGTAAAGTCAGGGAAAGGTTTTTGCTTCTTGAAAGCAAGAAACTAATTTTTGCTTTTCAAAGTCCAGTTTTTGATACTAAATCTCTTATAGAACAGACATACCTGAAAATATTTCTAAGACAACAGTTGCCAATTTTATTGTACTTTAAGATTGAATCCCTGGGATCTGAAAAGAAGGAGGCTTGTGGCAAACCGTGTGCCTGGAACATCCCTCCAGTGCCAAATTCTTGGGTTCAGCTGTATTTTGGAACTATCAGAGCTGCTGCCTGATCTCGGGGGGAGAGCTGCTGCATTTTGGTGCCCGTGTCCCTTCCCTTCTGTGCAACATTTCCTGGCTGAGCCAAAGCCAGTGCCATCGGTCCTGCCGCCGGTCAGAGGGCTGGACCTGAGCTGCCGCACGCTCGGGCAGTGCCCTGATGACAGAGACGATGTGCTGGTGGGAAGTGGGGGTGAGAAATGCCCAGCTCCTTCCCCTGGTGCCCGGGGGTCCTGGCAAAGCCCGGGTGGGTGCTGGGATGGGCAGCGGGCTCGGCGCCCTCGGCGGTGCCGAGCGAAGGGTTCTGCACCAGGGCTCGTCAGCGCTGCCTCCAACGGGTGCTGCGAGGATGTAAATTAGCCTGTAATTTACTTTCAGTAGTGTAAAGAAAAAAAATCACTTTGCCTGAAGTGTATGCATCTTTCTTAAGGGTGTACCCAGATTTTAATTATCTAAATGTAAATACTTAACGAATTTTACTTAGAGTAATGAGCTAAAGTGCACACTACATAAATGAGATGTTCTAATTAATCATGTATGAACTACTGGTTTAAAGAAAAGCTATGTGAATTCTGCGAATGTTGGGCTATTGCCAAATTGCTAATCAGCATTTGCATTCATAGATGGCTTCACTTAATAAGTTGTGAGACGTTCAGCAAATGTTATAGGAAATTATGAGTTTTTAGATGCATAAACTTTTCACTTTTAACTCCTTCCATCACATAATCTATTGAAATGTTGGAGAATCCTTGAAAATGTTGTTGTCAGACATATTAGCTACATATTTTGCAGGCTGACTTTAGAGGGAAGAGGGGAGCTGGCAGAGTTTTTGGCAGGCTCCAGCCTGCAAAGGGAAGTCAGGAGAGCAGGATGTGTGGAGGGGGTTCCTGGTGATGGCTCAGCCTGAAGTCTGTATCAGCATGGCACAGGCTGGGAGTGGGAATCCAGGGCTCCCTGTGCCCTCCCGCAGTGCCTCGGCCGCACAGCGTGGCCAGGCTGGGGCACAGTGTCACTGACCCCCGGGACAGGGACACACAGTGCCCCAGGAAGGTCTCAGGTCCCTGGGTGCTGCAGAGGGCACCCAGGGCTCAGGGTATTTCCCCCCTGGCTGTGGGGTGTGCGGGGCCCCCTCACAGCCTGCCCCTGCCAGCAGCTGGCACAGGGGCTGATCCGACTGCTCCTCTCTGCGGGGTCTGCCTGGGAATGGGGAAAGGGATGAGCACAGCAGGAGCAGGGCCCGGGCCACTGGGCTCCCCTGGCTGCCCCAGGACAGCTGCACGTCTCCTGGACAGCGTGGCCACATGTGGAGGGGACAGGGACATGTGAGGGGTCCCCCAGCCCCCAGTGCTGCCTTCCCACAACAGCTTGTGTCCTTGTGGGACAGCACAAACCCACGTCTGAGCCTCTTCTTCCTCCACAGGCATGTAATGAATTTACCACTCATGTAATGAACCTCCTCAGAGAACAGAGCCGGACACGTCCCATTTCTCCCAAGGAGATCGAAAGGATGGTGGGCATCATTCACCGAAAATTCAGCTCTATCCAGATGCAGCTCAAACAAAGCACTTGTGAAGCAGTAATGATTTTAAGATCAAGGTTCCTTGATGCCAGGTAAGGCAGAAGCAAGTGCCCCTGTCTCTTTTTTGGGGGAAAACAGTAATTTCTGGGCAGCCCGGGAGAGCCTGGTCACACTGGGAGTGGTGTCCCATTTCACCGGGGATGGGTGGGAGAGGCTGCTCTTCCCAACAAAAGCCTTCATCCACAGCTGCTGTGGAAGGGACACCCTGCAGAGTAGGCCTTCAGAAGCAACAAAGTCTTTTATTCAAATTTTAGTGCAAAGACTGGGCATGTTTTCCACCTTGGACACCTGCACCACTGTTGGAGCTCAGTGCCTGTCCGCAGCACCCACAGCGCCTGAGTGGGCCGCTCGCTCCACAAGCTGCCAGGAGGCAGGCAGACAGGGATTAGGAGGGGGTTTAGGCACAGTCAGAACTGTTTTGAAGCCCGATGAGGTGGGCTAGTGATCCCCTGCCCCATCCCCTTCACAGGGCTCCTGTCCGCAGAGCAGGAGCAGAGCCGGGCGGAACAGGGAGGAGCAGCAGGAGCCTCCCTCCTCCAGCAGCTCAGGCTTCACACCTGAAAGCTGTGAGGAACTAAACAAGACCAAAATAATGTTATTAACAAGGAGGTCACTGGCAGGTGTGGGAAATCAGGGTAATTGCAGGCTGTTGGAGGAGATGTCTATGGAGAGCTCCAGGAACGCAAAGGTAGAGCCTGCAGATGTACGTTTTAAAGTGATTTCTTTAAAAAGGAGGAAGGTAAATAAGGCAAAATGAGCGGAAGCATAGTAATGAGATAAAGAGAGCTCCAGGGAGGCAGCCTGCCTGCTCCAGGATGCAGTGCAGTTAGCAGCACCGTGATACTCGGCAAGAGCGCGCCGGGATCGCGCTCGGCTGCCGGCTGGCCTGCGGCGCCCGGTGATTGCAGCAGCCCTGGGGGAAGGAGCTCCAAGGAAATGCTCAGCTGGAGCCTGAGAGGATGCTCTGCTGGAGGAGAGCGGCACGGAGGGATGGCACTGCCCATGGCTGCAGGCTGCTGGCCGCAGCACGTGTGCTGCTCTCTGCAGGGCTCTGTGCTCTGTGCTCCGGCCGGGTGACACCCCCGGGTCTGTCCCACGCCCCATGTGGGCCAGAGCCTGCGCCCCGTGCAGCCCACGGCAGCAGGGGCACAGATGGGTCTCGCTCACAAAGCCCTGAAATCCACTTGCTGCTGGAAGCCAATTAGCTCAGGGAGGCCATGTGAGGACTCGTCAGCACGGCTGCCCCATCCTGCTGTACCATCCTCACCGCGGGGAGCTGTGCAGGCCCCAGCTGACCTGTGCTGAAGGGAAGGAGGGGAAGGAGGTCTGCCAGGGTGCAGCTGGCACACATGGCTCCATGGCCAGGAGCTTTGGGCTGGGCTGTGTACCTGGCTGTGGAGGAGCCACAGGGGAGGCTGCTGGCTCAGCACCTGCCTCACCTTTTCTGCCACAGCACATGAACGTGGGCTGTGCTCTCATGGGATGAACCCTGTGGGGAGGTGGGGTGTGAAGCCAGAGGCAGAGTCCAGAACCTCCAGGGGCTAGGTGCAGCACATGGTGTTGCTGCCTGCTGCTCCCTCCCATGGTTTTGGGAGCCCAAAGGGATCAGCTCTGCTGTGTTGTTCTGTGCTGCGGCACAGGCTGTGAAATGAAGGCTGCTGCTCCCCATCCAACCCTGCCAGGGATCTGCTGGTATCTGGAGGAACAGTGATGTTTTCCTTTTCTCATTTCAGACGGAAAAGGCGTAACTTCAGTAAACAAGCCACAGAAATCTTGAACGAGTATTTTTACTCCCACCTCAGTAACCCCTACCCCAGTGAAGAAGCCAAAGAAGAGCTGGCAAAGAAATGCAGCATCACGGTATCACAGGTAAGCACCCACAGTGTGTCAGTCTCTGGTTCCCCTTGCAATGCTGGCACCTCCTCCAGGCTCTGGGAGGTGGTTCCAGTGGGGGCAAGTACGGAGCTGGGCCTGCCCAAAGCACCTCTGTCACCCTTCATATTTGTGTGTTGACCATGAGAAGGTTTGCAGGGTGATGGGATGTGGCTGAGCTCTGCAGGAAAGGCTGCCTGCCCGTGGTGGCTGGGGCTGTGCTGGGGTACAAAGGCACCGTGCACAGAGAAGAAGATAAAAATAAGAAGAAACAAGGTCTGCACCCCACTTCACATCAGCCTTCCCTCTGCACAGCAGCGAGGTTCCTGGCTGAGCCTCGCTCTGCTCTGAATTCAGTGTAATTGAGCAGGATTTCGGGGAAAGGACGGTTTATTGACAAATTTGGGATCTATATTTATAGATCCAAATTTCTTTGATTGCTCAAAGTTGTTTTTCTAAGCCAGTCAGAAATTCAGCCTCTAGCTACGCTGAAATGACACAAATGGCTTCTCTGTGGCAAAACTGCATTAGGCAGATTTGCTCCTTTTAGCACACATAACAGCTGCTAGTGTGCAGTTAATGCAAGAAAGCCAGCACCTCCCCAGTCAGGCCTGTGCCATCCTTGGCTGCAGCTGCTTTCCCTGTGGGTCAAAGTACCCGTACAGCTCACACTGGTGTCTCACAGCAGTGCTCAGGCTGATGACACCATCGAGCTTTCCTTCACCAGGCAGCTCAAAAAGCAAAACACCTCTTGGCATTCCATGTGGCCTGTATGTTTGCTAGAAACCCCAGTTATTCTCACACAAATCTGGCTTGCACAGCTTGGGGAAGAGCTTGAGCTGTGTGGCAGGGAAGTGCCCTGCAGTCTCCGAGTTCTGCAGCATCCTGCTCGTGTGTGAGGGCCGGTGTGCTGGCTCCTCCCTGCTCCCCCAGCTCCCTTATCAATATTTCAGGTCCTTGAGAGGAGCGGTGCCTGCGGCACGTGTGTTAACTATTAATGATTGCAGGCTGCACTATTGGCATTATTAGCAATGCAACCTTTAGCTTTATAATTAAGACCTGAGTTGAGATTTACTTTATAGGCCTCCATTGGATGCATGAAAAATTCAGGCACCTTATTGAAGACTTTCAAATGGAAGTCTGCCCAGCTCCTGCAAATTTGGAATTGGTTGACTTTGGCTGCACCCACGGCAGCAGCCCTGGCAGCAGTGCCCCAGGACACGTGTGTGCCTTGCTGTCCCCGTGCCTGTTCTTGGCACGCAGCACACACCCCGCTCCGACTGGGAAGAGCCTGTGCTCCATGCCAGGGGAAGGTCCAGGCTGGGGAGGGAGGCAGTTTCTCCCAGTCCATTTACAAACAGCTGTGGTGATGGGCAGGGAATTTTTGAGGGGAATTCTGTGCACAGCTTGTTCCCTCTCATATTGCTCCTCCTTCGCCCTGAGCATCACACAGCACTGCAGCCCCGGGGTGGCTGCGCTGCTCTCCCGTGCCCTCAGGCATCCCTGCGGCTGCTGGGGCTGCTGGAACCAGCCTGAGAGCACACGACTGCCAGGGCACTGTGGTCTGCAGCCTTCATCTCGCTGCTGCTCTCAGTCCTTGGCACGAGAGGGTTTGTGGCAATTCCTTCAGTAAGCCATGACCAGAAATCTTCAGCGTGCTCCAAGGCAGTCTGATGTATGGTTAGGAGAGGCCGTGCCAGCAACACCAGTTTAAACAAACCAAAAGTTCTTCATTTTGGTTAATGTAGTTGGGTGAGATGACTTAAAAAGCCCACCAGACCTGCTAACGAGCTGTTCCCTCTGCACCCAGTGGTGAGTCCTGCCTGGCAGGGAGGGGCTCAATGATTCCTTGGTGTGGACAGATAAAAAGACAGATCAAGATAAGGCTGAAGTGACTGTAGGAAATGAGATGGAACATTTGAGAAACCATAACTGATTGCTTCTAGTACTAATAGATCTGATTTCTTTCTTAATTGGTTGTTTGATAAGATTTAATGTATAGAATGAAATAAAAGGCAGGCAGATGGTCCAACAACCCAGCAGTGGCAGAGAGCCTGTGACAGGAATATAGGTTTGTCTTTTTAATATTTGATACAGACATGAATTAGTTGTTTCTTGACTCCATTAGGAAGTCTGAGTGAGCGATGGGAGTAGCTGCATTGTGCCCTCCACAGCACTGCATCCAGCAGCCTCAGCCTTGCTGGTGACATTGCCAGCCTGGTCCGAGGGCGGTGCTGCCCACCCGGCCTGGCACCAGGGGTGCAGGACTGGGCCCTTGGCATGGCTGGAACTTCACTCTGGCAAGATGTTACAAATGACTTGGAAAAACTCGGGTAGATACGGTAAAGGCTGGAAATGGGGCCATGTATCATGTAACAGGAGAGGGCATGTATGAGAGAGAGGGAGTGCCTGTGATCAGCTGGTTGCTTGAGCGCCTGATGGATCTGCTGTCACAGCCAGAGAGCATGAACACCATGGATATTCTAATCTTTGATTTCCAAAGGCACTTCCAGAGGCTGCATGGCAGTACTGCAGGGTTAGTTGGTATTTTGTAGGCTGAACTGGGCTGGAGGTGTCTTTCTTTTACAGAGAAGGGTGTGTATTTTTGAGGCCATGTAGCAGAGAGCTCTGAGCAGGCACTACAGAGCAGCCCCCCACACACTGCTCTGGTGACTGACAGCAGAGCTCAGAGGATGCAGTCCAGAACTCAGAGTGAATTGAGCAGTCAGTGAAACCCTGGCAGGAGCAGCATCACAGGGGACAAGCAATGGCATCCGAGGAGGTGACTGAGCTGCACCTCGCTCAGGGCTTTCATGGAAGATCTCTAAGTGTGTGTATTTTCAGCCTTGACCAAGTGTCCCTTGGACCTTGCCGTGCCTGTCACCATGCCCCATTTACCTCCTGTGCTGCAAATACCCTGGAGGGCCAAAGAGCTGGAAAAAGGAATAAATAACATTAAGGGATGGCTTTCCAAACTCTGGAGCTGTTGGCTCGTCTTTGATGAAGAAGCTTTGTCCTTTCCCTGGCTGAGCCAGGCTCCTCTGTAGCCTCTCCTAACAATGATCCCAAGTGTTTCTCTCTTGTACTGTCAGTACCTTGTACACGCTGGGGGCAGATTCATGGCAGAACATTTTCTCCCTCAAACACTTAATTAGTGAGTGTTTTGGGTCATCCTCCCCCCAGATTAAGCTGCTGACTGGAAATCCTGCTGCCATGGCACTTTACTGAGCTGCAAGGAAAATTGTCTCCCAGAATCGTTTCATTGCAGGTGGGAGATCGATGGTTTCAGTTTTGATATAGGTGTTTAAAATAATATGTAGAGAAGGTTTTTCAAGAAAAGCATAAAGACAAACTATTTACTAAGATGAACACCTCACACAATTTCATTTTTAAGAGTGTGGAAAAGGTAATTCTGGGGAAAAAAATGTCCTTAGCAGAGAACATTGTCGGCTGTAATTTAGAGCCACCCCATCAGCGCATGTTGGAGGGAGATAAACTGTATTGTCTGTTCTCTCCTGCCATGGCTGCGAGGCTGATGTTTTATACTTTTGCAGATGAGCTGCTTTCAGGGTGTCACAAACAACCACCAGTCCATCACACAGGCTGGAGAGAGGGCACAGACAGTGCTGAGAGCGGGGCAGTGGAGTACAGCAATAACATTTTTCACTGATTCAAACAAAAGAGGGATGTGGTTGACAAGGGAATGTATTTAACATTGTTTTAAAGAAAGGATGCTGGAGCTGGTTTTCAGCACCCTCTGGCCCCTGCTGCTTCTGAGTGTTTCTTTCAGCATGTAAACAGGGAAAACCATAGATGGAGGGGCTTTTACCCCTGGACTCCATGTGGGAAGCAAGGAAAAAAGCTGCAGCATAATGAAATAGTTCTGGAGGTAAAATTCCTGGGTTTAGATCACAGACTGCAATTGTGCAACATTGATTTTTAACATTTTCTGGTTTGTACCATGTTTTAAGTGTTTTAGGTGTAGACTTGTGTGCTACAAACATGGAAACACAGTGGAAAGATTTCCGTGATCCATGAATCTGTAGCTCCCCAATTCCAGCAGCAATGCTCTTGCGTCAGCTGCGTCTTTGCCGAATGAGCACTGATTTATCCCAGGAAATCACCCACTCCGGAGACACAAGGCAGGCCTGCCCCATCCCAAATCCCACATTAGGCATCTTGATGATTTCAGTAATAATTTATTGTCTTTTTATTTAACGTTGCAATTAACATGATAAATAAGTGCAACAGTATTGTTTGAAATGTAATATACAATTAAGCCAAATTAATTAATTGGCCTTCAATGATCAGGAGGAGAAAGATGTTCATTGGTTTTTTTATGTGAAGAGATAGTTTGTTTTAATGAAAAATGTGTTGTGAGGCAGCTCACAATGGAGACAACTTCCATGTTTAGGGTGAGCATGGGGCTGGGTGAGGAGTGGGTCCCCGTGCTGACGGGGGAGCCCAGCGCCTGCACCCCGGTCTGCCCTGGGCCCACGGCAGTGCCAGCAGCACAAGCCAGGTGAGCTGTGCCCCAGGTGGGCAGGGATCCTAAATCCTGCCTGGCACAGCCTTCTGGAGCAGTGCCCTGGCCCTGTCCTGGCCAGGTCCAGCTGCCCGTGTCAGCCAAGCTCGCCCAGCTGCAGCTGCAGCCCCGGTGTGCCCCCACAGGTCCCTGGATGTCCCCATATGTCCCTGGGTGTCCCTAGTGTCCCTGGGTGTCCCCACATGTCCCTACATATCCCTGGGTGTCCCTGGTGTCCCTGGGTGTCCCCACATGTCTCTGGTGTCCCCACGTTCCCCGGGGTTGGGGCTGCCCTGCCCTGCACTGTGTGGCACGGGAGCACAGAGGGTCCCTGGGCAGAGGGGACAGGCAGGGGCAGTGGCACCCCCGGGCTGCCGTGGGAGCCACGCT